AGGAGAATCAGCAAAAGGAAGAATGCACTGGCAGATCTGAAGAGGAGGAGGAAGATTCTGATGCTGCTGTTGACGAGAATTTGTTAAACTATACTGATGAGGAGGGTAAAGATGGAGATGGGAATGAGGATGTGCCTCCTGTAGTCAACATGAGAAAGGTGGTGACTCCGAAACTAAAGTGGCAAGCAAAAAACTATCATTCCATGATTAACTGGAGGAATGAACTCAAGACTGAGCCTCCTTACATTGCTTCTCTGTCAAATCTACAGGTTAATGACATTCTTGAGACACCATTAGTGGTGCCCAAGTGGCCAAACAGCACTCAGGCGGTCGAGAGAGGCATAAAAGTGATGACTGAAGCTTGCACTGAAGTGACGGGATACGAATCGAGAGATGGATATATTAGGCAAAGATTATTGTCTAGGAAAATGATGCCAAGGTTCCGCACAAAAAAGAATTTCAATATGAACTTGTAATGATTTTCTATACGGTGTACCTGTAAAATAACATGTGAATTAAATCGATGTCACCCATGTAAAATTTATCATTATCCTGGAAAACATTAAATGACACCTTATTTTTGGTATACACTAAAAGTTGACAAAAAGTCGTTCGCGATGCGGCAGGGTAAGTATGCATGAAATGGCATGAAATTTTGCACAGGTGTTTGTTATAGCCATACAAACGATGCCTGAAAAGTGCAGCCTGCAACTCAAATAAAAGTGTTTTTTCCCTGCCCCCTACTACACAGCCTCTACACCACCAAGACTCCTGCTGTGCCTCCTCGTGGCAACACACGGTAACTGGGTGCCTTGTGGGCTCACGCTAGACCAGCAGGGGATCTTGGAGTAGCAGTGGGCCCCAAAGGGACAGTGCATAGGCCCACTGGCATGTGGATAAGTCCTGGCGCCTAACAACAATTGTCCCGCTGCCTTGCGGATTAACCTTAGTAGGTATAAGGCTACGGGAGTAAACCACGAACGAAAAATCTGCGGTTGAGTCCCACATCAGGCAGACATGCTTACAGAGCTCCAACAAAACCCCAACGGCGGTATAGGCGGAAGAGGTGACCACCAGGGGAACTCAACGACTACACCGGCGGACGAAGGCAATGCATGATGGACAGGCTACTAAGGAGAAACCCAACAAACTGGGTAATCAACGGTCCATTGCAACTCTCCTTCTCCCAAGTCATTGCAACATTTGCACCACAATCAAAATCACAAGTCCAAACAAAAACAAACCATACAACCTTTTATTGTCATTGCATGGAATGTCAGGACCCTTCTGGTTACTGGCACAAATGAGCGTCCTGAAAGAAGAACTGCCCTTGTGGCAAAAGAGCTGGCTAGGTATAACATTGACATAGCAGCCTTTAGTGAGTCCCGGCTCCCAGACGTGAGTCAACTCACAGGACGGGGGTCTGGTTATACCTTCTTCTGGAAGGGTAAGCCTGCTGCAGTGAGAAACTGCATTTATGGAGTTGGCTTTGCCATCTGCCAATGCATCCTACACAGGCTAACTGAAATGCTTATTGGGATCAACGAGCGCCTTATGATGCTCCGAGTTCCACTGAATCACTCATGCCATGCAGAGGATGATTTCAAGTAGGCCTTTTATGCTGACCTTGACAGAGTGCTGACCTCTATCCCCAGAGAAGATTAGGTTGTGCTCCTTGGTGACTTTAATGCCAGAGTTGGCAGAGATGCTGATATTTGGCAGAGAACCATAGGGAGAAATGGACTAGGCAAGTGTAATCCTAACGGCCTACTCCTCCTCAGCAAGTGTGGTGCACACAACCTCACTATCACCAATACCTTGTTTAGGCAGGCTGACAAGTTCAAGAGTTCGTGGCAACACCCACGATCCAAACACTGGCATCTCATTGACTACATCATTGTCAGAGAAAGAGATCACTGAGATGTCCTCATCACCCGAACCTTGAGTGGCTCAGACCACTGTGACACTGATCATCGGCTCGTCAGAGCCAAGTTCTCACTTCAAATCGCCCCAAAACGGTGAAGGGAGCAAGCCTCCAGAAGAGGTTTTAACACTAAGTGTCTTTTTAACACTAAGTGTCTGGAAGATCCAGCAGTAGCACATGCTTTCAGAGAACAGCTCGAACATGGGCTGATAAACAACCCGACAACAAACTACCCAAATCCCAGAGCCTCCCTTTGATCCATGAAATACATTACATATATAGAAATTCAGTGGCATTTTTAGAAAAAATAGTACCACTTCCAGCACTAACCTTAATCTTGTACGTGTTGGTACGGATACTAAGCACTGTTGTGGGGGTTAGATCTAGAGCAGAAGCTATGTCCACCGCACTTCCCCTTTTTCAAAACGGTTTAAAACCTCCATTTTTGTAGCAAGGCTAATGGTCTTTCGTTGCTCCTTCACAACACTAGCATCAGTAACACTTGATGGGTGCTTGGAAGCCATTTTGAATTGTTAGAGTACAGTATTAAGAGCAAAAACACTTTAACATGCACGAATGCTGTGGAGACCTAACAAAGACTGACGACGCTTGGGGACGCTGTGACGTTCCTCAAGTGAGAGGTAGCGCACCAAGACGAGAGAGCATAGTGCGGCAAGGTGAGAGAGGGTGATGCGCCGTAAAAAGTAGTTCGTGACGACGCTAAAAACGACGTTATATTGAGTCGTCGGGACGTTAACCGAATTATTGGCATCTAAAGAGTAGAGACGTTATAACGAAACAACATTATCGGAGGCAACGTTATGCGAGGACTTACTGTACTAAGATTAGCAAAAAACATGAACAGAAATACTTGAAATGTACGGGAAAAACAAATACTTTGGTCATATAATTAGAGATCAGGGGATAATAATAGAAATATTAATGGGCAGGGTTGAGGGTAGGAGGGCCAGGGGAAGGCAGAGACTGGAAAGGATGAAAAAAAAAAAAAGGTCTCCAGAGAGATACAAAACCTTGGAGGATTGGTTAAAACAGCCTGAAAACGTTTTGAGTGGAGAACTGTGTCTGCCAGCACTCCGATATGAGGACGATACTCTGATTGATTGATAACACCTGTATCAGTTGTTACTGCCTCTGTGTTACCAGCCCAGTCACGCTGCCTCCCCAATGTGACGTCACAGCAGGCACACAGCGCAGCAGCCACACCTGCTTCTGAGTCAGTTTGATGGCTGCCTAGTTGAACTGTGTCACTCACCCACTCTCAGCATTACCCAGAGGATAGTTTGAAGGAAGAAGGAGCTTTTTTTTTTTACATAAAATAATATGTGCTATTGTATTTTATGATGTGCTATACAGTATTGTCTCGATTTATGCGGATTTGGTTTACGCGTTTGGTCATTTACGCGGCACCTTGCCAGATCGACAATTTTTATTTACGCAGTTCATTCCATCATTTACGCGGGAAGCGGCGCGGGCAGGGTGCGCAAAAGGTCACCCAGTCAACAAAACATTACCGAGTTCTTCACCCGCCACCCACCACAGCCAGCCCAAGTCAGTGATAGTGAGGATATGGACTTTGAGGGGTTTGACAAAAAGGCCCTGCAAGCCTCTGTGGTGGATAGTGAAACAAGTGATACAGGTGAGGGCCAATAATCTGCCCTCTGCCTCGGAACCAACCCCCCATCCCCGTGTGCCCAGCCATCTTTTCTACTAACGTAAGTGTTAAAAACCTAATATTATTGATATTTCTCTTAAATATTAATTGTGTGTGCATACCATCATAAAATTAAGATGTTATTTTTACTACAACGTACTATTGTGTCGGAAAAAGTGTAGTTTGGGGGTCGGCCCAGTCTCTATTTCAATTAATCCCATATGTTCTGTTATTTCGTTTATGTGTTTCTCGTTTTACGCGGACCTCCACGGGTTTAATTGACCGCGTAAACCGAGACTATACTGTACCTGAACAGTATATAATTTTTTTGTTTACGATAGCAATTTTTATTCATTTTTGGTGTAGGCAAAATACAGAATAATGAAGGTTAGGTTCAAATTAGGATGATATAATTTAAACTTAGATGGGAGGTTCGAAATTGAGATAATTTGTTTGAATCTGGTATTTCTTCAAATTAGGCAAAGTTCACAATAGCAATAAAAAAAAATGAGGTTCTACTGAAAATTGGTAAAGTTGGGTAATGAGCATAGCAGGATGTCCCCTCTCCACACAACCCCTAAACCAGGTACTGGAGCACTTTTGAACCAGATGCCATAACAAAGGGAGTCCAATGGCTTTAGGGTGATCCAACACAACCAGCTACAGGGAAAACCATCCATGAATGATAAGGCAGTAAATTTGGCAGGAGTATTATACTCTTGATAAGCAAAATATCATAAAAAATAACCTCTTGGAATGTAACCTCAACTGTACAACACTAAACTTAAAGTAACTAGGGCATAGTAGTAATGTGATTGAAATATGATCAAGAACATAATTTACCCTAATTTCATCTGGTTTCTTACCAACAATACATTCTAACTTTGCCTCCTGAATTATTCCCACCAGTTTTATGGTAAAAATATTGTGATAACATCTTGGTTTCTTGCCTTAAATTATTATATCCATTCCATACCGGACTTGAGGAATAGTTAGATATGAAGGGGATAATATAAATTCTCATCAAAGTAATAATATGTCTTTTTTTCTTAATACCACCAGTACTGTTGGGTATAATAAAACACTTGTTGTCTGATGATGAATGTGGAGGTTTTGATGTCAATTAATTTTTAAATATTAAATCATGATGTATTGAGGGTCTGTGGTACAGTTGCGGAAATGTGTTCCTATCCCCCGTGGTAACCCATGTCTCCAAACAGCAACATCACAGTTGTGGTATCACTGTTTATAAATGAATGGGTATTGGTTGTGTAATGACAGACATGATTGGTGGACAGATTTGCTATAGGTCATACAGGTTGGCCGTTTGGATACACAGATTACCAAAGTGAAGAAGAATCAATAAAAAAAGTCTTAGATTTACATAAAAATAAAGGACAATACCTATCCCTTGAAGTCTTTGTTGTTTATCTGGTGATCTTGACATATTTTCAGTTGTTGAGAAAGATAATACTGCTGCTTGTTTTTGGCGTCCCAAATCCGACCGCAGCTCCTCCCTAATATCTTCTGGTAAGGCTTCCAAGAAACTTGAATCCACCTACAAGATCAATCACAACTTATGAGTGTAGTTCAAGAAAAAAATTAAAATATTGTAACATACAAAATTTGTATATTAATTTGATTATGTCTGATGCTTATTTGTTCTAAACATATACAGGTAAACCTCTATTTGCAATCGGGTTACAGTCCAGAAAACCCCATCGTAGGTCAAAATATCATAAATCAGGTTCATTATAACATGGGGCTCAATGGAAAAGGTTACTGGCCACTCGGACACTCATATGTATCACCATAAAAGAATTCCTAGAATGCTACTACTGTAGCACTACAAAACAGTTAAACAACACTCATCACATCATTAAGAACAAGTCTAGTCATCATAACATATCCCCTTCAAGGCTAAGGGGACTGTTAAGGTGGAGTGGAGACATCAAACTGAGTATCACACTGTGACTTTGGGAAGTCTGAAGAGTGGAGACTGGAGGTGTAACCTTCATCCTGGCCTTAAAGATGGTGAGCAAAATGCTTGCCAGACATATTCAAAGTTACACTGGTCACTTCACATTCACAAAAACACGATAATAATGATAGGGACTCAATTTGTTTATGAAAAAAAAAAGCAAGAAATGTTGCGATAGTAGTGTGGTAAGGGATTAGTGAATCTCATGTAACTGAACCGACCTCACCAATGTCAGGTGGAGGTCAGGTCACCCAGTGACAGGGTGGAGGATTAGTGGGTCTCTTGACCTGAAGATGTTCTGAATAAAGAGAAAACTAAGTAGCAAATATATTAATGGCTTACAAAAAAGTTTATAAAATTTTATTGACATCTGCTCTATTTGTGTTGAAGAAATGAATTTATAACCAATGCATATATGGATATACAGTATAGTCTCGGTTTACGCGGTCAATTGAACCCACAGAGGTCCACGTAAAACGAGAAACGCGTAAACGAAATAACAGAACATATGGGATTAATTGAAATAGAGACTGGGCCGACCCCCAAACTACTCTTTTTCTGACACAATATGTACGTTGTAGTAAAAATAACATCTTAATTTTATGATGGTATGCACACACAATTAATATTTAAGAGAAATACAGTCATGCGCCGGTTAATGTCCATTCAAATAATGGGACATAGCGAATGTAAGTGGCCTTAGAGCGGGCGCAGTCACGTTGGCATCCGTCTGCATCGCGTAGACATTATGTTATTTTATTAGCTTTTCTAACCTCTGCGTTTCATTAGCTGTGAACTTTTTTTTTTTTTTTTTTTTATTGGGAACCCCCCTACATCCTTGTGTAAGGTGAAGCGCAGAAGCGTTTACAGCGCCCAACAGGGAAGCATGCTAAGTTCATGCTTGCCTTTATATCTTGTAAGACAGCGAATAATTTGAATATAAATGTCATATATTTTGCACAAGAGATAAAAATTAATCACCTGTATCACATTACAGTAGTGATTAGAGTAAGAGTGTATATATACGTATATAGTATTCCACATAAACGTAAGTATGAATACAAAGTTTATGTGATGATCGGACAACATCCATTTCGGTTTTACGTTAGTAGAAGAGATGGCTGGGCACAGGGGGATGGGGGGTTTGGTAAAGAGGCAAAGGGCAGATTATTGGCCCTCACCTATATCACTTGTATCACCTGTATCACTATCCACCACAGAGGATTGCAGGGCCTCTTTGTCAAACCCCTCAAAGTCCATATCCTCACTGTCACTATCACTGACTTGGGCTGGCTGTGGTGGGTGGCGTGTGAAGAACTCGGGAATGTTTTGTTGACTGGGCAACCTAGCGCGCACCCTGCCCGTGCTGCTTCCCGCGTAAATGATGGAATGTACCGCATAACTAATAATTGCCGGTCTGGCCAGGTGCCGCGTAAATGACCAACAGCGTAAAGGAATTCCGCGTAAATCGAGACAATACTGTACATTCCTGATGGCATTATTTTTTACCCATGAGCAGGGTGTTCCTAGAGTATTTGGCACCCGGGGCCGACCTATCCACTGGCACCCCCTTCCTTCCAGAGATGAATAAATATACAGTAAAAGTAAAATACACAATTGTCTCTAGAGTACTGGGCACCCAGGGCAGGGCATTCCTTTGCCCCCTTACTCTTCCTGTACTGAGACGCATGATAAAAAAAATAGTAATACTTTTAAGGAATTTTGGATTATTCATAGTAAATATTATAAATGTTTTAGTTTCCTTCTATTAATATGGAAAATTATTATTTTTTTTTACTAAAGTATAATGCAGCCTACATCAAGTGTAATATTCGTAAATAAAAAGCAGGTTTGTAAATGTGGATGATATTTAGGAAATCTACAGTATATATAAACAAATGTATTTCCTAATTTCAAAAAAATTTACACGATACAACAAAGCACATACAAGTACAGGTAATTCAAATATACAAAGTACAGAAACCATACTGAATATAACTACAAGTTACACATTAAATAAAGTATTACACAATGAGACGGGCGCAGCCTTCTTCAACTCACTTTTATCAGAAACTTGACCAATAGCACTAGATTGTTCTAAAAACATAGGAAACCATGAAATACAAGCGGTATACTTTCATCTAACGCAAAAAAAAATATATATATTAGTTTTACAGCCTCATCGTTCGTGACTCAGCTTCAGCAAACTTCCCAATTATTTCATCAAAATTAACTGTCTTGGCACATTCATTTTCGATAGAAATCATAGCTAGGCTGTTCAATCTTGCCTGAGTCATGCTAGAACAAAGATAATTCTTGATGAGTTTCAGTTTAGAGAAACTTCTTTCACATGATGCAACAGACACACATATTGTTAAAAAGAATCTCAGGCACAATGATAAGTTTGGCAAGGTTTAACAAAAGTCTCATTTGACAATAAACTTCAGGAACTGCAAGACTGTCCATTTATTTGCTTCTTCAGGTGTGATTTTGGCAGCCTCCATGTGTCTGCGAAGTGGCATAATTTCATCCATGACATCCTCATCAGAAATTTCATTAAAAATCTTGGTCATGCTTGAATTTGAAATACTCCCCTGAAGTTGTTCTTCTTTTGCAGAAAGCAAGTAGCTTGGCTGAATAGCTGCAAATATTGACAAGATGTTATCCATGGCCTCTGAACGAGCATCCAATTCTAGACTAAATCGATCTAAGCATTCAAACATTGATTTCCTCATTTCCTCTTGCATTGTCAGTCCAGCATCCCTAGCCATTTCTTCTGGCATCATTTTCTTACGTCTTATCCTCCCTCTTGTTTCCATGGAGATGCCCATTTCTTCACATTGTGTAGTTGCATATTGAATCGCTCTCTCCACAATTTCATTCCGCTGACCTCGAAGAAACAATTTCAAACCATTGAGCTTTACAGTGCACTTTTCAAGACTTATTCCTTCTGTTTGCAAATACTTCTGTGTGAGATTCACCTCATCCAGTACATCACACCAAAAAGAAAGATACCCGGTAACCCAAAAAATAAAAATCACATACAGCTTTAAGCAAAACTTCAGCTGATCCTCTTGTGTAAACATTTTCTCTTTGATCCATCAATGCTTCCAGGGCTATGATCAGCTTCGCAAATTGTTTCTTGAGAGGCTTTATGGCTTCATGATGTGCACTCCATCTAGTCCGTTAAAGTCTTTTAACTGTCAGGTTCATATTTTCTTTCAGTACTTCCCATCGGTGAGTTGAAAGTGAAAAAAAAGCAATAAAGTTTCTCTACAGTTCCAAAGAATGCTACACATAAAGGATTGGTTCCAAAAGAGTGTACCCCACAAAGGTTCAAGGAATGATTGGCTCAAGGCAAAAACAAAACCTTTGGATTTATTTCTTTGATTTTCTTCTGAACACCTCCATGAATACCAGCCATAGTTGCAACATTATCATACCCTTGACTGCGGCAAAAGTTAATGTCCAGTCCATCACTCTCCAAATTACTCAGGATATCCTTTGTGAGCTCACTTGCAGTTTTTCCAGCAATAGGAAAGAAACCCAAGAAAGATTCCCTTACTTCAACAGAATCACCTTCAATATGAACATATCTAATCACTTCGGACATATGATACTGTATGAGAAATATCAGGTGTACTGTCAAAAAGAATTCCAAAATACTTGGCCTTCTTGATGTCAGCCAAAATTTTTTCCTTAACATTATTTCCTAGAAGACAGATGAATTCATTCTGAATATTTGGTGACAAATAAGAGTGAGCTCTTATTTGACTGAGATGAAATAGCATGCTTAACATCCAAAAGATGTTCTTTCAAAACAGGATCATAGTTTGATAGTAACTCCACCAGTTCCAGGAAATTGCCTTTGTTTATTTGAAAATGAGATGGATGAAGGGGCAATTAAACTGAATGACGAAATTTTTGCACTGATAACTCGTAAGTAGTACTTAGATTTTGTCAAAAAAAAGAAAGGCTACAGAGGACAGATATCTATTTATTTATGAGCCTCATGGCACCCCCCTCTGGCTGTCACCCGGGGCGGACCGCCCCCCCCCTTAGTACGCCACTGCCCATGAGATATATGTGTGTTTGTATATACAGTAATATCTCCGTTACACGGAATCCCTCTCAACCGAAACACTCCAATAGTCGGAACTGAAATTTGCTCAGAATTTTTCGGGAAAATTCTCTCAATTTCGGGTTTGAGAACAAATTCCGAGGTTGAAAATCAGGAGCATTTTCTGAAAATTAAAAACAAATCTGTCGAATAGGTCAAAATTTCTATTTCCTTGTCTGGGAGCATATGTCGATTATGAAATAATGCCCAATTACCGGAAAATCTAGGAAAACGGCGAGAAAATCACTCCAAAACTTTCTTCTCAGGGCCTGGGGACAAAGGTTTCCTGTGTAATGATAAATTGGACCATGTTTAGCCGCATCTGCACATGGTTGGTGAGTGGGTGGGAAGACCAACCGCCTGGATAACACTGGATTTTCTGCTCTGTGTCTATTAATAATTAATTACTGTGCAAATATAAATATTTAATTAAATTTAAATACAATACTAAAAAAGG